CGCCCGGCGCTGTTCGTCTGCTGCATCTTGCAAAGCCGCGCACGGCTCGTCACCAAGGCTTGAAAACATCGCCCATCACCCTGAATACTCCTCGCTAGACAGCCGGCGAAGCTTCAGAAGCAGGTGCGTTTCCATGCGCTTCTGAAACAAAACCAAAAGCACCGGTCCTCAGCTCGGCGAAGCCACATCTCACGCTCTTGGAGCGACAGGTGCGGCTCGGAACCCGAAAAACCAGCCTGATGACTTGTTGGTGCATTGGTTTGTACCCAAGTCTGCGAGTTGCCTTGGTTGGTTCACGGGGAACTTCAGCCAACTTTGCTGGCCAGCTTAAGAATAACGCTGAAGCCCAGAACAACCAGCCGGGCGAGAGGCATGGCGCGCGATGGAGCTCTCTGCACCCTCTGCACCCTCGACCAGCCTGGCCTCCGGCTGAAGCGGTCCACGATCTTCCGCAGCCTCGGGGTGCTCCCATCCGCAGCTCGCTGTGGCGCTTGAAAGCGCGGGCCGGCCTGCTGTACTCCGGCAGCGCGTTCCTGCGGCTGGAAAAGCACAAAAGTCGCGTCTGCGAGAAGCCAGATGCAGCCGAGCGACATGTCCGGCCAGCTTGAGTTCGCATCGGGAGGCGGCGTCGAAGTCCTGAATTCGCAAGTTGTTCCCTCATGTGGGTGTGCGTCAAAACCAATGGTACCATTTGAGGGTAGGTGCACCACCCACTTTGGAACCTATTTTAGTGGGGATTGGATTTTGACCCATGGCCATGTAACTCACAAGAATCCACAAAAACAAGTGCGCTTAGGTGGAAGGTTTTTGGGGTTCTGCTTTAGGGTTTTGGGGCTTAGGCTTTGTGCTATAAGGGCTTAGGTTTAGGGTGTTAGAGATTTCGGGTTGAGGTTTCGGGTGTGTAGCGTTTAAGTTGTAGGATGTTGGGTTTAGGTGTTGGGCTTTTAGGGTTTACTTTTGGACTTTTAGGGCTTAGGTTTAGGGATATTGGGTTTGGGCTTAAGCATTTTAAGGCTTAGGTTTCATGCGCTGTAGGGTTTGAGTTCTAAAAATTAAGGTTTAGGGCTGCCCTGCCAAACACTCCTAGGCGTTCCCGATCCCAAACATCTGACATTTTAGGGTTGACTCGGCAAGGATTCCTCATTCCTCATGTCGCCAGGGCAAAAAGGTTTCACCGGCTGGATCCATGGATGTATGGATGGATCTAATGGATGGACGGACGGACGGATGGACGGATCGATGATGGCTGATTATAGTGAAACAAGCAGGAGAAACGACTGGGGAGAATCGAGGGGACTTGACTTGCACTGTCGGGCCCTCAACCACAGGCTCCGGCTCAAAGTCTGGATCCATAGCCTGGGGCTCCGCATTTGGTCACCAGGTGATTGGATCTTCACGCGGAAAATAGCTTGCCAGGAAATATGAGGCACCTGATGCCACCCTGCCCTTAGGCCACTCAGGCGGCGGCTCTGTCGAAGTCTCCCTCTGCCTGCATTGTGGAATGATCAGCCGCCTTCTAACAAGCACCACCAGCCTCAAAGAGCCGCTTCCTCAGATGGTTTCGTGTTCTTGTCTGTCGCTTTGCCACGCTACTCCCCGCTACCACTCGCCACCAAGGCTCTGATAGTGGAAGAAAGCATCGTTCAGGGCGCCTGCATGCTTCTGAGACAGCTGCCTGGCACAAGAGGCAGGCGCCCGAAACACGCATGCCTTCGCGCAGTTGCGCCTGTACAAGTCGTGGCGTCGGGGAAGGCCCGGTCCAATCTTGTCGCGGAAAGTTCGCCTTGGGCGAAAGAGGCGAAAGCTGCGGCGTCGCATGGGCCGAAAGCTCACTCTGACGATTGTTTCTTTTTCGTTGCGGCTCGCAGGGCGATGACACGTCGGATGAAGAAAGCTAGCTGTGAAACAAGGAAGACCTCAGGATGCAAACAAAACTCATTCACCCACCCACCCACCCACCCACCCAGCCAGCCACACCCACGCCCGCATGCACGCACACACAAACACAGACAGACACAGAGACACACAGCAGCACGGCGCGAGCACGATATTTCTCTTGTTCTTCTCTCTCTCTCTCTCTATATCTCTCTCTCTCTCTCTCCTTCTTTTTCTCTCCTCAAAGCCACCAACACCCACAAACTGACACCGTCCGAAGTGCGTGGCGAATGTCACCCCTGCGCCAGCGGCCGCCGCCAGCCCCGCGGTGGCAAGGCTCAGCAGGCAGCAGCGCCGCAGAAAGCGGCGCGCCCCCGGCCCCACCCGAAACAAACCGTGAGCCACGTGAACGCGGCCCGAGTCCATGGACAGGTGCCGCGGCGGAGTCAGGGGCCTCAGCGTCTCGGAGGAACTGGCCTCCTCCACGCAGAGTAGAACGGCCTTAACGACAGGGACAGCAACCAGGAACAAGCAAGCAGGGAAGCAGGGAGGGCAAGTGCGTCCCAGCCTGGCTCCGCAGCTGCTCCGCCAGGCTTACGACTTCTGGCTCTTCTAGGAGCGCAGCCTGGGACACGCAACCCGGCGACTCTCCCGGCGACTCTCTTCGGCAAGGGTGGAATTGCGCCGCTGGGACCCCGCTAGATCGGCCTGCAACTCATGGAGCTGCTGGCGAACCCGGCTGGGAGCATATTTCGTGACGAAGCCATAGACTGGACACCTCCGCGAAAAAATGACAGGAGGTATCGGCCAGTTTCGGTGAAATCTTCGTGAACTCCAAAGCGACCTCCTCACAGCCTGTCACCACTGCGCCTGTCCATGCTGCCCTCGCAGGCTGTGAACTCCGACAATGCGTTGCAGTAGGCCTCAATGAGGCAAGTGCGGATCTCAGTTGCCCAGTTTGGACCTTGACATGCGCAAGGTGAACCTTCTGGGGCCATGACTCAACATGGAGCAACATGGGATCACCAGAAGGTCAAAAGGTCCATCCGCTTTGGACTGGTGAGGGATTGAAGGGCAATTCAAAGACCTGGAAGGATGGACTCATGGCTGTCAATGGCCATGGGTCAGATCCCGTACCCAGTGAACATCCCAATCCCCACTAAAGTAGACTAAAGTGGGTGGTGCACCTACCTCCAAGGGTACGATTGTTTTTGACCCAATGCCAAGTAGGAAAAAAACCTCTCGCTTCGCCCCTCCCCAGCTTCCCTCCAAGCCCCAAATTCAGGCATGGGATGCTGAGTCCAAAGCCGGGAAGTTGCACAGGAAGATGCCTCCGAGCAGCGCCTCAGAGGAGTTTCCCCCCATGGAGTGGAAGGGAGGGCACCCCCCAAAAAAAAACGAGGGCCCCAAATGAATCGCAGAAAGCCGCAGCTCCGGGACTCTGAGGCTGCAGCGCGCAAAGGCCAAGAAGGCGGCAGCGTGTTCAGCTGCAGCGCTGCAACCGCCACATTCTCGTAGCGGAGCATGGCCTTGGCATCCAACGGCCGCATGCGCTCGGCCTGTGCACAATTGGTTGCCTTTTTTTTTCCGACTCTAATGTTGACCCAGGATTAATAAACCCGTCCCATTATTAGGGGGGTGTTCCCTCAAAAAGTAATGAATCCCCACTAAAAGGGGACACCCTCTATTAATCAACCAGGGGTTTATTAATCCGGGGTTAACATTACCAAGACTCTGCCTTTGCTTGCTGGTGCTCAGTAAGGAATGAGGGAATGAACAAAGACGGTCCCCTTAAAGGAAACCACAAGGGATGGTTTACAGGGGTCATTCCCTCATTCCCTACTGAGCACCAGCAAGTTTGCTAGATGCCCTGCTTGGATCAAAAAAACAAAACTACGCGTCGCTAAGCCTCGGGCCGCATACAAATCGCAGTCGCTGCCCGACTCATGTTCGTGCCCCGGCTCGTTCTGCAATGGGTTGGAGCAAAGCAGACTTTGAATCGAAAGCCTTAGTGGCAAGAGTCTTGAGATCGCTTTGCTCTTGCACCGCTTCGGCATTTCCCGTCGCACTCAGAACTTGCTTTGACCCACACGAATGCATGATTCACTCTTGGCATGTGATCCCCGAAGAAGGGAAGAAGAAAAAAACGGCGCTCCGCTAACATCGCATGAATGGAATGACGCGGCACAAGACAGAGCGGAAGGTGCTCAGCGATGTCCAGGAAGGGCCAGCCCAGGTGCCCAAGATTGAAAGACAAACCTGGCCGCACGGCCTTGACATCCCGCGCATGTTGCGACATGAGGTCGCAAATTTACGACCCGTCAATGGGACATCTGGCGCTCACCTTGCCATTGACGTAGAGGTTCGGATTGAATCTCACCCGCCCATCCTTGGCTCGTTGATTGGAGAGGCATCCTCAAAATCATTCTCTAGGTGACCAGGGAAGCAAACGCCGAGCCATTGGCACCCAGAAAAAGCTCGCAAAGCTGCAGCTGGTGCAGTTGAAGGACCCCCGTCACGAACTTCGCCCAAGGCGGTTTCAGTGGATATGTGTTCCTCAGAGGCATGGCATGGCGCGGCTTCAAACAAGCAAACAAAGACAAGACCAACCTGACATTTGACTGCAAAAGTTGCAGTCACACGCCAAGTTGCGGAAATGTGAATTCAAAGATGTAGGGGCCCCGAGCGTAGGGCGTATCATCTGGTCCGAGAATAACAGCCACTGCCTGCAAATTGGAAGAAACGGCGCAGCACTACCGCACCAATATCCAGCCTTGTGCTTCTGTTCTTCGTGGAAGTGATGGAAGATGCCCTGAGGCCATGCCACCAACATGCCCCCCCCCCCCCCCGGCAGCTGAGCCCGCCTGCGCCTCCAGACCCTCACGATTCAGCGCGGCCTGTTCGCGCAGGAGCCGCCTCAAGTTTCAGCGCTGCACGCGGATCAAGCCCCTTACCTCTCGCGCCTGGAAGCGACTACGGACAGCTCGCCGTTGTAGTCTTCGCCCGGCTCGGCAGCGTACATGCCAGCATGAGCTCATGCAGGCATTATCTGGCCCATTGCACAACTTTCAGGATGCTCTGGATCAAGCATTGAATCTGAAGTGCAGCGATGATCAAGCTTTCAG